GTTAGGATATGTTAGTTTGATAAAACTGACTGTTCATTGTTGAGAAATGTGTTAACAAACAATATATCTGACTTTATCAAGACTGTAGCTTGCTTAGCAAAAGGAACTTTATTAAATTTGGGTTCAGTTTAACTACCTCTCAATGGATGAGTAATTGGGGCATAATAAAGGAACTAAGCTGATAAAATGAAAGATGGGAAAACAACATTAGAGAGATAAACTCGAGAGACGTTTTCATGTTAACCCGAAAATTATTTGAGGAGCAAGACGGACTGCGGGTCAGGCAATTGGTCTTCATGCTATCGTTATGGGGATCAGCCATTACACGTGTTAATGACTCTTGTATAGTTGTGTAGTTAAGGACAACAGGGTAAAGGGGTAATGGGCATTGTGGTTGATTGTTCTACCTGGGAATCCTCCACTGTTTTATATCTTATGTATGTATGTATGTACTCACCTAGTTGTGTTTGCAGGGGTTGAGCTCTGGCTCTTTGGTCCCGCCTCTCAACCGTCAATCAACTGATGTACAGACTCCTGAGCCTACTGGGCTCTGTCATATCTACATTTGAAACTGTGTATGGAGTCAGCCTCCACCACATTACTGCCTAATGCATTCCATTTATTAACTACTCTGACACTGAAAAGTTCTTTCTATAATCTCTCTGTGGCTCATTTGGGTACTCAGCTTCCACCTGTGTCCCCTTGTGCGTGTACCACATGTGTTAAATAAATGTATGTATGTATGAGAGGAGAGAGAGAGAGAGAGAGAGAGAGAGAGAGAGAGAGAGAGAGAGAGAGAGAGAGAGAGAGAGAGAGAGAGAGAGAGAGAGAGAGAGAGAGAGAGAGAGATGAAGACCGAGTCAGAGAAATAGATATAGACAGAGTCAGGGAGAGAATGTTAGACACAGAGACGGATAGATAAGGATATGCAAAGTCAGTGAGAGAATGACAGAGATAGAGCGAGGAAAGAGACAGAGAGATAGGCTGACACAGAGAATGGCAGAAACGAGGAGAGGCAGAGACAGAGTGGGGACAGGGACAGGCGGACAGGGACAGGAGCAGAGGGACAGGGACAGAGCCAGAGGAGGGACGGGGGAACAGAGGGGGGGGGCAGTGGGACAGGGAGGGAGACAGGGACAGAGAGAGAGACAGAGGGACAGAAACACAGAGACAGAGGGACAGGGTCAGAGAGGGGGACCGGGGGACAGGAGACAGGAAGAGAGAGGGGACAGAGGAGAGACAGGGGATAGAAAGAGTGGGCAGGGGGACAGGGACAGACAGAGAAGGACAGGGACAGAGGGACAGGAACAGGGGGGCAGAAAGGGCGGACAGGGGGACAGGGGGCAGAGATAGGGACAGTGGAACAGAGACAGGGACAAGGGGACTGGAGGAAAGGGAGGGGGACAGATGAAGGACAGCGGACAGAAAGAGTGGGCAGGGGGACAGAGAGGTACAGGGGACAGAGAGAAGGACAGGGGGACAGAGATGGACAGGGGGACAGAGTGACAGGGGGGACAGAGAGAGGGACAGGGGGACAGAGAGATGGAAAGGGGGGACAGTGGGAAAGGGATCGGGGACAGAGGACAGAAAATGTGGGCAAGTGGACAAAATGAGGGACAGGGCGACAATGATAGACAGGGCGACAAAGATAGACAGGGCGACAAAGATGGACAGGGGGACAGGAGGAAAGGGGGGAGATGTATGAGGGGGATTGTTTGCGAGAGATGAAGAAGGGGTATTTAGAACGGTAAGTTAGAGAGGGGACAACTAAGGCGCATCATTGAAAAGCAAATGAGCATCATTGCAATAGCAGGAGCCACGCACATCTTCAGCCTGCGTTGTTGAGACATTGTCAATTAAGCGGTGTCCAATAACAGTATCTTCGGTATTTAAGCGATATCTTAAAAAATACTGGAAATATTGAAAGATATTAATCCAGATATTAATCCCCATGTGCAACGCACACAAGAGGCAACAGCTTCTAGCTCTACAAGCGGCAATATAAAATAGAGAATAGGCGATTGTTTTCACTCATAGTGTAATAAACCCACGGACCCACCCACCCGCTGAAGCCGTAAATACCAAGACATTACTTCCGTTTAAAATTTAGCCGGAATAATCCTCAGGTATGTGGAGGATGTGGGAGGCCTTTGATCAACCGCCGACTTCCTGCCCCGTCGACGGGGCCATCAGCCCTCAGTGTGCCCTCAGCCAAATTCATGTGAAACATGTATGTGTGTGTATTAAATATTTTAATTTATTATTTCCAAGATTTAGCTGTTAGCTCTTGGACCCCGCCTTTCTAAGCGTCGGTTGTCTAATGTACCGACTCTCGGCCTCTTTTCCTCCATCATATCTAAACAACATATCTTTTTATCAAACACACACACACACATCCCCAAGATGCAGCCTTTAGCAGCTTCCTGACTTTCAGGTTCCTATTTACTGCAAGGTGAATAGAGGCATTAGTGTGTGTATGTGTTGTGTGTGTGTGTGTGTGTGTGTGTGTACGTGTGTGTGTGTACGTGTGTGTGCGCGTGTGTATACTCACCTAGTTGTGGTTGCGGGGGTTGAGCTCTGGCTCTTTGGTCCCACCTCTCAACTGGCAATCAACTGATGTACAGATTCCTGAGCCTACTGGGCTCTATCATATCTGCATTTGAAACTGTGTATGGAGTCAGCCTCCACCACATCACTGCCTAATGCATTCCATCTATTAACTACTCTGACACTGAAAAAGTTCTTTCTAACATCCCAGTGGCTCATTTGGGTACTAAGTTTCCACCTGTGTCCCCTTGTTCGCCTACCACCCGTGTTAAACAGTTTATCTTTATGTACCCTATCAATTGCTCTGAGAATTTTGTAGGTAGTGATCATGTCTCCCGTTACTCTTCTGTCTTCCAGTGTCATGAGGTGCATTTCTCGCAGCCTGTCCTCGTAACTCATGCCTCTTAGTCCTGGGACTAGCCTATTGGCATACCACTAAACTTTTTCAAGCTTCGTCCTGTGCTTGACAAGGTGTGTGTGTATGTGTACGTGTATAACACACACGTACTTATGTGGTACGCATGTACTACATAATTGTAAGGCGTTTGCTGAATTAGAAAAGTCGGCTAGCAGTCCACCCTTAACGACACAATTAACTCATTACATAAAAAAATACGTGGCTGTGCAACAGTGTGTGGGAATTGGGGAACTGGTGTGCATTTAGACGACTGGTGAGGACCAACAATGACGTAGAAGGATGGCATCAGCGTCTGAATCAAAGGGCAGTGAGGAACAACTTGGCTTTATATATTTTAATCCCCTTACTGTACCGTGAGGCGTCCCTGGTAACCTTGCAATACCAACTGGTTTCTGATCAAAAGTTAAAGTCCAGTCGCTTCAAGGGCAATGAAGAGAAACAGGAACATTTGTGGAAGCTTTGGGACCGTTACGAGGAAAAACAGATAAGCACCTCACAGTTCCTCAAGGAATGTTCGCGTTTTATCCCAGGAAGTGCCTGAACTAGAATTAAAAAACAGCAGTCTGTTTACTGGTTGTTATTTAACTTAAGTTAGTTGTAAATGATATTGTAAAAATAGCCACTGAGAACTGATGAGTTGCCCAAGACTTTTGCTCGTAAAGAGGGAATTGATTACAAACTTGGACTGCCTTTGAGCAGCCTGAGGGCAGCAATATCCCAGGAACATCAACTAAATTTCGGAGACTTGAGGCAAAGTGAAATTCACACCAGTTACTCCATCTATCATCATTCTATTATGCAGGAAGAACCGCACGTCTATGGGTCATCCAATAATGTTAGCAGACTTCTAGATGTTACCACTGCTTATAGGCTTAGGCTCGGCTACAAGTACCTCTGGGAGTTTGTAACATCTGCTGATGTAGATTTGACTAAATGTAAACTCTGTCAGCAGAACTATTCGCGTACTTTGCGTCATTATATAATGGAATGTGAAAAAATCGCGGAATTTAGAGATAACACCATCAATAGTGTTCAAGATATGTGTAAGTACTTCATTCATAATGATGTGCTGCTCGAAATCTTAGCGAAGTATCCAAAATTTGCTTACTGTAGGTAATGCATGCACATGACTGTAAAGCTGCCGCCCAGTTGGGTGGGTGTGGAGCACATGACTGTAAAGCTGCCGCCCAGTTGGGTGGGTGTGCAGCACGACTAGTAACTGTGTGACTCACCATAGATGTAAAGTGCCTTGTATAGTGACTGTTGTGAGCCTCTTGTTGATCACTTGTGACACAAAGTTTATTGATGTGTGTATTTGTGTAGGTGATTAGATATGTATGTGTATGTATATATGTATACGTATATATATATATATGTACATGTATGTATGAGAGTGTGTACATGTATATATAATATTAATAATTTTGTAACTAGCGTCACAAATTGTTATTTGCTTAGCTAAACGAACTAGAGGGTTCAGTTCCTGAACCGATTATGTGCCTCTGTAATCCTTTACACCACCGCCCACGGGATGGGTATGGGGTGCATAATAAAGAAAGAAATTGAATTGAATTGGTCTGATTAAGACTTTATGACCATGTAATCTATGTTTTGCTCCACTACTTACTGGTTGAGTATGGGGTGCATAACAAATAATAGCCTCCTTCAGGGGCGCCTTGTTTCTAAACGTGTTAGTCTTAAATCCTTTAATCTCAAATCTTGCTACAATGTACCTCTTAATATATGTTATGTACTCTCGCAACCCAATGTACCTTCTTGTATATAAATAAATAGATTTCAACTGTAAGGGGTATGGTTTGCACCTTGTTATTCTAATAATAGATAAATAATTCTAATAATGGAAGCGCTAATTATATGAACAAGTTCCATGTATTTATTCAGACGAGAACAACAGCGAACACAAACCAGCGCATATACGAACGGAATGGTTTGTATGTACAAACTTCTCAGTGAACGAAGTTGTTTCTAGCCCGGTATCCGAAATTGCAGTATACGACTTGACCAGTCCCCGGGTCACAGAGACTCCAGTTCCCGGGAAAACGAGGCGCCGCACTGTTTACCTCTGCTAGTGGAGCTCTCACGCGAGGCAGTATCCTATCCTGCTAAGATGAAGGACGAAGTGCCGGTGCTGGAGTACACGGATGTCTCTATAGAGTCTAGAGGGTTAATGGTATGTTGGCGCGTCGTATTATTGTTGTTTTAACAGGCAGCGTTATAGGCAAGCCCTGGTGTTGGTGTTATGGTAGGCAGCGTTATAGGCAAGCCGTGGTGTTGGTGTTATGGTAGGCAGCGTTATTGGCAAGCCCTGGTGTTGGTGTTATGGTAGGCATCATTGTAGGCAAGCCGTGGTGGTGTTATGGTAGGCATCATTGTAGGCAAGCCGTGGTTGTGTTATGGTAGGCATCATTGTAGGCAAGCCGTGGTGGTATGGTAGGCAGCATTGTAGGCAAGCCGTGGTGGTGTTATGGTAGGCAGCATTGTAGGCAAGCCGTGGTTGTGTTATGGTAGGCAGCATTGTAGGCAAGCCGTGGTTGTGTTATGGTAGGCAGCATTGTAGGCAAGCCGTGGTGGTGTTATGGTAGGCAGCATTGTAGGCAAGCCGTGGTTGCGGTATGGTAGGCAGCATTGTAGGCAAGCCATGGTGGTGTTATGGTAGGCAGCATTGTAGGCAAGCCGTGGTGGTGTTATGGTAGGCAGCATTGTAGGCAAGCCGTGGTGGTGTTATGGTAGGCATCATTGTAGGCAAGCCGTGGTGGTGGTATGGTAGGCAGCATTGTAGGCAAGCCGTGGTTGTGGTATGGTAGGCAGCATTGTAGGCAAGCCATGGTGGTGTTATGGTAGGCAGCATTGTAGGCAAGCCGTGGTTGTGGTATGGTAGGCAGCATTGTAGGCAAGCCATGGTGGTGTTATGGTAGGCAGCATTGTAGGCAAGCCGTGGTGGTGTTATGGTAGGCAGCATTGTAGGCAAGCCGTGGTGGTGGTATGGTAGGCAGCATTGTAGGCAAGCCGTGGTGGTGTTATGGTAGGCAGCATTGTAGGCAAGCCGTGGTGGTGTTATGGTAGGCAGCATTGTAGGCAAGCCGTGGTGGTGTTATGGTAGGCAGCATTGTAGGCAAGCCGTGGTGGTGTTATGGTAGGCAGCATTGTAGGCAAGCCGTGGTGGTGTTATGGTAGGCAGCATTGTAGGCAAGCCGTGGTGGTGTTATGGTAGGCAGCATTGTAGGCAAGCCGTGGTGGTATGGTAGGCAGCATTGTAGGCAAGCCGTGGTGGTGTTATGGTAGGCAAGTTTGGGTTTCTGCCTGTTTTTATGGTATGGTTTCTAATTGCATTGCACATCGGTATATGAACTCTGGTCCTCATCGTTACTATAAGTACTGTACTATTAAAACGGGACGACGGGCTGCAGTAATACAGTATCACAATCTGAATTATTCAAGTGTATGAACAATGTTTACTTTCACAATATTAGGCCATAAAGTTTCGTTGATAAATCATGATTTTGGGTAATGTAATAACTACTACAAAATATATACAGTATATATATATATAGTATTTGTTGATACTAGTTACTGTGTACATACAGCAGTCCACCAATGACTTATAAAACAAGCTTTGTCAAAAAGCTTGTGTGGGATTTGACTGCACCCTACATTAGTATGATATTTCAATTTAAGTTGTATTTTCCCGGCAGGTACCCGTTCGCTTAAAGCTGAGTGAACAAGGCATTAGTTACCGCAATGTAAAGACCGGCAAAGTAGAAAACCTGAATGCTTCCGAAATTGAGGTGATTAATTGGCAGAGACTCTGTGGAAGTTATGGATTACGAATTTTCACAGAAAATGGCAGTCTGTTTCGTTTTGGAGGTTTCAAAGAATCTGTAAGTATCTACAGTTTTAATACTTATTTTTTTTTACTATTAAAAATAAAATAAAAATTAATGCTTTATAGTGAAATTTAAATGTTAGATTTAACCAGTAGCAGCCAATGTTGTGTTTCATAACAAGTGAAGGTTTATTTGCATTAGTTCATTTATTATGCACCCCATACCCATCTTGTGGGCGGTAGTGGAAAGGGTTACAGAGGCACATAATGGGCTCAGGGACTGAACCCCACAATTCATTTAGCTAAACAAGTTACAGTCTTGAGCTAGTTACAAAATTCAGTATGTCGTCACATTATCAACAGGTTCAAGATCGACCACAAGTACAGTTTCTAAATTAAGCAACTGACATATGTGGAGAGCTAGTGTCAATTGATATATTTGTCCTGCACACCGCCCCCCATCCAGTTGGCAGCGGTGGATAAGTTACAATCACTTACTACCTACAGTTAGCAAACTGGGGATATTTGGCTAAAATTAATTAAAAAAAAATTTGCATTTGCAAAGAAAATTACATCAACTTTTTAATGTTCATAGAAATCGCAATAATGTGATACTGTACACACAATACCCAATAATGTGATACCCTGCAAACACACAACGTAACGGTCCCTATTTTTCCCTTGGTACGCCTTGTAACAAAGTTGTTACATCTTGTTATAAAAATTTTATGGTGTTAGAAAGTTGTTACTTGTTACATTAGTTGTCACAACTTGTTAGATGTTAAAACTTGTTCGAACTTTGTAGCAACGTCTCACTTTCGTCATGTGTTTTGCAGGTACTGTATATAGTTATGTCTATGAGAATAGATAAAGATATATTGGGTTATTGTAATTTCCTTGTATATTTTAAGGAAGTGTTTAGTGGAGATCTAAATTACCTACACTAGATTGCATGAGATTGTGTAAAACTTGGATTGGCCACAGCTTGATGCCTCCAGACTCACAAGTGGAGTCTGGAGAATTTACATAACATACTTAGGACAAAAAAAACAAAACTATGTATCTATCCCATCAAGCAGGTATCGTGTATTTTATGTAAAGATTTGAACTACACATCTTTTGCATTCCTGAGTGCATTATTGAAGTCTGAGCCATATGATATAAGCTATATGATATGAGCCATATGATATAATGCCCTTAAGAGAGTATGACCAACTTGGTGTGGTTCAAATCTTTACATAAAATACATAAATACTGTACATACGTGTGGGTTTTTTATTCTTGGTTATGTCTGTGATAAAACATTACAATTAATGATGTAAAGTTTATTATTAGCCATTTGCAAATACTTTACATTGCATTGGAGTGTGTGTGTTCCTAATTGTAATAATATTCCGATGCAACATGGCTACAGGAAGCCCGTGTTTAGGCAGATTGAGGTCCACCTAGGCCAACTCTTGACCTTTTCCCAGGCTGCAACCCCCCACAACAGTTGCCTAACTACCGGGTACCTATTTACCACTAGCTGAACCAAGGCATCAGGTGAAAGGAAACGTTTACCGTTTCTGAATCTGCCTTCCTCGGCTGAGAGTCAAGGACATAGACCACTATACTACAGGACCCATATAAGACTGCAAAATAATGAACAAAAATATGAGTTCATGATTACTCGGGAAATTATCTATACTGTAGTTGATATATTATTATAAATATTGTCATGGTTTATTTAGTAAAAAGATATTTGGAATAAATCAAATTTAAAGAAACAAATTTCATGTTGTGTATTAAGAGTTCTCATAAATGCTTGTAATTAGCTCGGGAATTCATCATTGCTCATATTCTAAATTACAGTACTCTATAGTAGACATTTTCAAATTAGAACGATTATTATTGTATGTTGTACTGTATATCATACAATATAATAGTTTTATTGATACCTGTGTATGTGTGTGTGTGTATATATATATATACAGTGGCACCTCGATTAACGAGTTTAATCTGTTCCGGCACCGAGCTCTTCATGTGGAAAACTCGTCTTGCAAAAACAACAAAAAAACTGTCGTCGGAGGTGTCCGAGAACCAGCGAAAACACTCGTTAATAGAGGGAAAGCTTGTCAGTCGAGACGTATTTTCTGCGAGTGGCTTGCTCGTAACTGGAGCCGCTCGTCACTTGAGGTTCCACTGTGTGTGTGTAATCAATTACAGTGGTCCCCAATCAATTATTGGGGACCACTGTACAGTACATGTCTTGGTAGTACAGTCAAGTTCATTCTTGGCTTACAATCAAGAATGTCGGACAGGTCACAAAAAATGTTTGGACACGTTTCCTTTAACTTAATGTATCTGTTCCCCTAGTAGAAAATAGGTACAGTACCCGGGAGTTTGTCAATTGTTGTAGAGTTTTATCCTGCGGAAGGTCAGTAGTTTGACCTTGTGGGTGTCGATATAAGCCTATACAGGTGTACTTCAGTTTAAGAATTTAATCCGTTCCTGGAGACGGTTCGTAAACCGAAGCGAATTTCCCCATAAATATTGGGAAGTGAATTAATCTGTTCCTGACTCCCCAAAAACTTCACTTCCAAGTATATTTTATACCTAATTCATCCAAATCTTCACTACAAAAGTATGTTACTTATTATTTACCCTTGCTGATGACTCCTGTTGGCATATAGAAGTTGGTGAGGAGGGGAGGGAGGAGGAGAAGTGTTGCTGTTTGGAAGGGGAGTCCTCTTCCATTATAACATCAGGCAGTGAAGATTTCTCTGGATTGCACTCTGGCACGTTTTGCCTGAATACCACTAGGTCCTGGTTGTGGTTCACTGCTTGATTTTCTCACAAAGAAAGTTCCATTGAAGATTGTTTTTCCCTTCACAACATTTGTCTGTAGTGAAGCATCACATTGTCATTAAGATTAATGCAACGGCCTACTACAGCTTTCTCCGAGTGAATCGTTTCAATAAAAGTTTACATTTCTTCCCACATATGACACCACTTCCTAATTGTTGAGGAAGGGACTTTCTCTTCTGCCTCATCCTCCTCTGAAGAAATATCCTCAGCTGCTTCTTGTTGCTGCTCCTTTTGAAGGGCTTGGAGTTCTTTGTTGTGTTGTTCTACCATCTCCTCCACATCAGCACCATCCAATTCCAAGCCCATTTTCCAGCCCAGAGTAACAATTTCCTCAACAATAGGCACTTCATTTACAGGCTCAAACCCCTCAAAGTCTAGTTCTGACACACATTCAGCCCACAATTTTCTCCAGCCAAGAAGATCAGGTTTTTTTTGAGTCACTTCTTGCCAGGCTTTGTCAACGTGTTTTAAAGCACTACAAATGTTGAAATGGTTTTTCCAGAACTCTTTGAGGGTGAGGTTTGCGGCATCAGTCACTTCAAAACATTTCTGGAAAAGTACCCTTACATAAAGTTTCTTAAAATTTGCTATGATTTTCTGGTCCATAGGCTGAATTAGAGGAGTGGTGTTAGGAAGAAGGAACTTTATTGTGAGAAAATTAAATCTGTTCAACAATGCATCTTCCAAGCCTGGAGGATGAGCAGGAGCATTGTCGAGGAGAAGCAGGGCCTTGAGTGGCAAACTTTTTTCCTGCAGATATTTTTGTATGGCAGGACACACCACATCATTCACCCACTCCATAAAAAATAAATCTTAGTCACCCATGCCTCATTATTAGCCCTCCACATCACACACACTTGATTTTTCTGCACACCATACTTTTTGAAAACCCTTGGATTTTCAGAATGATACACAAGCAAGGGTTTAAAATTAATTAATTTAACACTTTCACGCTTTGGTGCCTCTTGAGCGAGTCAACTATTTGTGATAACACTTTTCGGCTGATGTGACTTGCTCACGAGTCACGAGAAAAAATATTTGTATAAATTCCATTTTCGATCCGATCTACTTGGGGATAGTTTAGAAATGTTCGCCATGAAATTTACGTTCTCTCTAATAGCCGAAGAGCTTATTTGGGAGAACGGCATGGCAGTGAATCATCGTGGTAAAACAATTGTATTATTTACACGACGAGTATGATCGACGTAGTTTTTATATTTGTTGCCGGTCGAATGCATCCTTATGTGATGTTTTATACTTATGTTCTTCTAGAACATTCTATTGCGAACTCATTGGTACAAAAATGAAATACGTACATCGAAAAATAATGTCAGGACAGTGAATTAAATATACACTTTTCGATGCGGTTTCGCCGATATGCCGCTGTGGGTAACACTTCGGCCACTTCCCACACTCTTGTGGGTCGGTTGCGACATTGATTCTATATTTATATGCATATGTCCGTGTAGAGAATTTTATTGCGATTTCAGTGATACCAAAATTAACGATGTAGGACAACTATGGGCTTCACAACCATGAAGAGTGGAAACATTTTGTTGCTGTTTGGCGCTCTCTGCTAGTGATCTCAATAGTTTTTTATTTGATGTTGATATACCTTATGCTTTGGTGGCATTTTATAGGTATGTTCTTAGACAATTCTATTGTGAACACAGTGATACCAAATTTAAATACGTACGCCTACAATTAGTGTCAGGACAGTCAAAAGAGTATACACTTTTCGGTCTTAACGCTTAGGCACTTGAAACGCCGGCAGCACAAGGGGAAAGTTTTTTCAATATGCCGGCAGCGCTGAAGTGTTAATTTTCAAATCGCTACTTGCATTTCCACACAGTACAAGCGTAAACCTATCTTTTATAGACTTTTGTCCGGGCAATGATTTCTCCTCCTTGGTAATGTATATCCTCTTAGGCAATCTTTTCCAGAACAGTCCTGTCTCATCACAAATAAACACTTGTTGCGGTAGGTATCCCTCAGCCTCTACAAAATCTTTAAATTCTTCAATAAATCTTTCGGCTCTGGTTTGTCTGAGCTGGCAGCCTCCCCATGCCCCACAACACTATGAATACCACTTCTTTTTTTAAATTTTTCAAACCATCCCCTGCTTGCCTTAGTCTTTCGTATCTACACTCGTTCCAGGGGTTTTCTTTACAAGATCTTCGTGCAATACTCTGGCTTTCTCACAAACGATGGCCTCTGAAACACTATCACCTGCTAACTCCTTGTTGTGTATCCAAATTAATAACAACTTTTCCACATCCTCAAGTATTCGTGTTTTCTGCTTCGTGATTGTTGATATGCCCTTGGCCACTTTAGCACTCATGCTTTTAGGGAATGACTGAAATGCTCAGTAATATATTTAGGTTACTGTATTATGTAAATCTTTTTAGTTTTATAAGCAAACGAGATATTTATATGGTACACATTTTTTACTCTTTACTTTATACAGTACTGGTTATTTTTGTTTATTAACGTCTTTTTGTATTTCCAGGAACAGTCAAAGCTGGAGAAATTTTTCAAGAACACGTACAGTAAGTCCATGTCTGAGAAGGAGTTCTCTGTTAAAGGATGGAACTATGGAGCTGCAAAGTTTGAAGGGGCTGTATTGTCGTTTGATGTAGGTTCCATTCCAGCATTTGAAGTGCCCCTAAGTCATGTGTCTGGCTGCACCACCGGCAAAAATGAAGTTACTCTAGAGTTCCATCAGGTATGCAACAATCTATGGTGGAATTGTTATTGTTATAGCAAAAGTATATTTACAGCAGTAAAATTAATTAATTATTTTGTAATACTTTAGCGTTCCAATGACACTAAAACAACACGCTCATCTCGATATTACTGAAAATCACTTTTTCTGAGGGGACTCCTTCGGTGGCTCCCTGAAGTTATCTTGCTAAGATTGCTCAGTACTAAAAGGTCACATCAGTCACAGAAATTTTTTGGCCTGTCAGGGACTGGCGCCAAACCTGGGCCCCAAATAGGTAAAAGGAGTGAGTGACAATCTGCCACCCTACTGGATAAGCTTTGAGAAAATCAGTGTTTTGCAGACAACTGGAGGATCCACAGAAAATGAAGCCTGAAAACGGTCAAACAACTCTGCAAACAATTCACACAAAGTTAGGGATTCACTCAAAATAGCTCAAAACTCATTAGTATCGATTATCACCACAGGGCAACCCATGATCAGCCCTCAGCTGGCGCCTCATCTCAGTTTTGTTGCTAATGAGGCAGCATTTGGATCTCTTTATAGTGTTCGGTTCATCAGTCATCATGGGCAAACCCTGCTACTTCCAATTAGGTGCCTGCCATCCTCGTCCTGTGGGATAATTTTCTTCGTGTATTGTTTTGTCGTTTTCGATCCAGATTGTTGTGTGAACTTGACTTGTGTTTCAGGCTGCATGGGCTCAGGGTTTTCTTCCCCAGGTACCTGTCAACTATGCTTTTGCATATCAACTTCTCTGGTGTGTTCAGGAGTTTTCCCTTCAGCAGCCTGGCCATCTGGGTGAAGATTAGCCTTGGGCTAATCACATCTTTGATTCCTCTGCTTGGGTCATTTGGCCGAGTTATTTTCATTCTTTGGTTATTTTATATATGGGTATTTAACCCTTAACATGCTCGGGGTTAAATATCCTGTCATCCCCACAGGCGCATGTCATTTTGAAAAAAAAAACATTATTTTTTCTTCCTAACCTGTTAACACTTTGGCGTGCCCCGCCCGCCACCCCTCAACTGTGCGATTTGGGTCCCAGAGTTTCACGGGAGCGCGCGTTAATTCTGAAAAGTGTATACTCTCTTCAACTTTGTCACCTTAATTTTCGTCCTACGAGATTAAATTTGGTATCATTGTGTTTGCAATAGAATTCTCTACAGCACTAAATGCATAGAAACTACAAGAGCCCGGCTAATTACCCGCAGCAAACAGAGAAAGTGCGAACGAGTTACCCAGGAGCCCGCAAAAGCGATAAAATGTGTTCACTCTTTTCACTCTGGTCACCTCAATTTTTGTCCTAGGTCTTTCATTTTGGTATCAATGGGTTCGCAATAGAATTTTCTAGAGGAACATTAGCATATAAAATAAAAAAACTGGTCACGCTCCACCCGCCGATGAGTTGAAGACGAGCCACGCGTTAACTGCGAGTGAGCGCCCAAACGCCTTCCAGCTACACTCCCAATTCCTGCCCACAAATGTTTAGTATTTAGTATTTTAGTATATGTAGTATTATAGTTTAGTATTTTTTGTGTAGTAGTTGTACATCACATAAGCATTGTAGATAGCCATTTGCACAAAATAGATGGTCATTTTCTATGTCCATTTGTGAGTTTTCCTTATGAAGTGATAATATTTGATCATTTGGTCAAAGTGATCAACACCTTTCATGTTTGTATTGTAGTCACAGATTGCGTTCGGCTTGTTGACAGTTACCAAACAGTCCCCAAAAAATTGGATAAAAACCTGATTTTTGGCAATTATTTTAGTGGATGACGCAATGCTCCGTCATCCTCGAGATTACCGACAGTAAACGGATGACGCAATGCTGCGTCATGCCCGGACTAAAGTGTTAATTTGTGTTCACTGATCACGGGAAAAATAATAAAAAAATCGTAAGTGGCATATATTGCCCGCTATAGGGCAGGGAAGTCTGGCAAATTATAGGCGCTGACTATAATGTCTCTGATTTTTCATAGTTTTTTTGCTGTAATATTGTTCAATAGTGTGTAGTTTGATATATTTATATAATAAAATGAGTGAATCATCGCTGTCCTCAAAAATATGGTGTGCATATTGTTGATTCAATTATGTTCATCAATCAGTGAACAAATACTTTGTCGGTTATTACACTATATACACAGGTTATCTATAAGTATCTGCATGTTTTGTTCACTATAACGAACCACTAAGTAGCTATTATGAGTCAAAAAGTAATGAGGAGTGACCGCCGTGTACCAGCCAGCCACTCCCGCCCTCCCTCCAATCATCTGACTCGCCAACATTCTCCTCCCACAATACTGTTTTTTCTATAATTCACTATATACAGACGTTATATATAAGTATCTACATGTTTTGTTCACCATAACTGTACATCTAAGCTTGTATGGTGAGTAAAGGCACAAAGGCGTGGGACCTCACAGTCAGCTGATGGCTGCCGCCCTCAAGGCCAGACACACTAATATTTCTCCAACAATACTGTGTGGTGTTATTACGCTATATATCTTATATACAGACGTTATATATAAGTATTTACATGTTTTGTTCACCATAACTGTACATCTAAGCTTGTATGGTGTGTAAAGGCACAAAGACGTAGGACCTCGCACAGTCAGCTGATGGCTGCTACCTTCAAAGCCAGACGCACTAATATTTCTCCTCCAACAATACTGTGTGGTGTTATTACGCTATATACACACATTATATATAAATATCTACCCGTTTTATTCACCATACTTGTACAAATAAACTGGTATGGTGCCCAAAGACCATCGTGGTAACCAGTAAACAACACCGTCGTCTGCACGGTGGCGTCGTGCAGACGACACCACCGCCCTCACCAAAATGGCGGCTCCAAACCTTCTCTTGTTGTTTATACCCTCTATACACATGTTATATATAAGTATCTACATTTGTGTTCACCATAGCGAACCACTAAGCTGGTATGCTGAGTGCAGTCAATAAAAGGTGGCCACACAGTCAGAAGACATCGCCACCACCCTCCCTCCCACAGCATTACTCCTCCCTCTATGGCGCACAGCACTATATATCACCACAATCCTGCTATTATCAGAACCCTGGTCAGTTTTATCACAGTCAGGGGTCTTCTGTAATAATATCATCGCTACATAATAGCATGAACAAGTATATTTTGGCATTTTTAGGCGATGCTGTGGTCACAAGCTGAACAGCAGTGCTGTTAGCTCATGCTGCGTGCATCAGGCTTGGTTGCTCACTCAATACTGACGCCAATACCACCCAGGAGTTTGGCCCACGATTTAAAAAAAAAAATGGCGTCTGTTTACAAGAGCCCTGATGAAGGTGTGGTGAACCCCGTGTATCCGCGGGCCGTTTAAATCTTGCGTAGTACTCAAACACGTCATATGATGTGATGCGCAGTTGACTGGAACAACGTTCAAACGTCATATGACGTGATGCGCACTTTAAGGGTTAATGGTTATATAGCCATTTCATTTGTTATGCTGGAGCACACTGGGGTTCATGTATTTGCTTTATAAGGCATGCCACAGTTGCCATTCACAACCTGATTTTTTTTTTGGCTACAACTGGTGACAGGTCTTCTGCCAAGTGGGCCCCAGTGCCTGGAGTTTCTGCTTGGTTAGCCACCTTCAGGCCCTGGGAATCCCCAGAGGGTCTTTGGCATGGTTTGTTATGGATTAGTTGGTCAAGCTTTCCCTTACTCACAAGTTTTATGGGTGCTCATCACCTTTACTACCAGTGATCATCTGCCCCCACCATGCTGCCTGATGGATCAATGACACCTACAACCCTGAGTCCTGTGAGGTTTGTTCTCACTGGGTCTCTGCACTTGCTGATTCCACTTCCCAGTTGAAAGCTTATCAGGTAGTTGCCGATTAATTAATAAGCTAATTTGCTCGAGTTATGTGTTTGCTGCATATTTATTGGCTCGACTTCCTAGAGTTGGCCCCTAAGGTGTTAGGAACCCAGAATTGAAAGTGTTGGTGACCTCCTGGACTAAGTCCACACCTCCTTTTGCTTGTTCCACTGGTGTGTTTGCCTACTTCTGGTCTTCTGGTTCCAGCTTCAAATCATCTGAGGACTTCAGAATCGTTTTAGAATTTAGTTTGGGGTGTAGCTTGGCCTTCAGGGGTGATCCCATCCACATCTTCACAACCCCCCACCCCCCCCCACCTCCCCACCTCCCCTCTTCCCTGCTACGAGCCTTCACATTGGGAGGACACGTTCCTGTCTCAGGTGTTGGGCAAGAACCTTGGCTCTACACTGCAGCCTTCGTGGCAGGCTACTGGGGTTGAGGGGGAGCCAAAGGAGTGCCCATGGGTACCTTTCAATTCTTTATGGAATTGTGTCCCCTCCGTGGTTACCTTACCTTGCGGGTTGGTTACCTTGCGATGATTTCATGTCAACATCACAGAGTTCCCAAAGAGGGACAGAGAGTTCCACAGAGGATCTTTTACTGTGGAAGGATTATTTATCGTATCCTTCCTCCATGTATGAGTTGAATCGCTTGGCTGCTTCCCATTGGATTTGATTCCAGTTTCCATACAGTGCATCGGAGTCGACATGTTTCTGGAGGTTTCTGTCTTCCCACACTGCATCCTTCCGTGGTCCACGTGGATTTGCTTTGCTACCTCCTGAAGAACATAGACACCTCTTCCAATGATGGACCCTGGCCTCTTGTTAAGTATGGGTCTGTGTCTGCTTATTGGTTGCAGTATGAGGTCTCTGGTTCATCCTGGCTGGCTGACATCCCTCTTTTCCTTGGGCAGAGGGTTCTGTCAAATCCACATGCTTGATTGGCAGGAGGGGAGCTCCGTCTTTCAGGTGTTCCTGAGCAATGCTGCTTTTGCTCCACTCTTGAGCTATCTGTTCTGGCATTTCCTAAGTATTTGGGCAAGTGAGAACTCCATGTGTAGTTGCCTATGCTGTCCAGGGCTCTTATTGCAGATTACTGCAGGGCATGTTCACATTTGGTGGCAGTGTTGCAAGTTTAGATCCTC